TCTGTGTTTATAAGTCAATTCTAGCTCTCTGTATTTAACAAAATTGAATTGAAAGACAGAATACTGGAGAGGCAAGAATAGCAAACTAAGACCCCAGGGTCCAGAATTCTAGTTCTAGCCATAAACTTGTGACCTTTAGCATGGCTTTTTCCCAATCAAAAGATGAGGAACTTGGGCTGAATTATTCCTAAGTTTCCTACCAGCTGTGTATCATTTAGGGTCCAGCAGGAAACAGATGAAACATTCAGATTGGGTAATTTGAGAGGTGGGTGTAATAAAGAGACTATCTGCAAAGGTTTGAGCTGGGAGTAGGGAAACCACAGGAGCCGGTGCACTGCCCTGGAGTAAATACCATCCCTAGTCCTGAAGCAGTAAAGGCAGGGAGCAGTTACAGGAACCTAGGGACAGGGCTGGTAGGAGAGATGCAACACCAACCTCATTCTCCTCTCTCCCTCCAGGAAAACAATTCTCTTGGTCCAAACCACACCAGAAGCCCTTGATGCAGTTAAGACCCAGAACTGATAACAGCCTCCTGGGACACAGCAGGGTGCAGAAGAGTGGAGAACAGGTCTGGAGTGGCAAATGGGAGCTGTCCAGCACAAACTTGTACTAGTGATTGCACTAGTGCATGATACTCTATCCTCTGGGCTCATTGAAGACTTACATATGTTTCTCTTCACTTACTGTCAACCACATGTTTGGCTCACTCATCTAGGAGTTTTCCGTGCCCAGTCCTCAACGTGCTAGGAAGCCACATCACCAGGTTCACTAAAAGGCATTATTGTATAATATAAATGCAGAGGCGATGAGCTATGACCTAGGGGGCTTAACTCTGGTAACATTGGAGCTTGGGAGTACATGGACACTAGTGGTGTTCCTTTTGGCTACTCAGGGGCCCTTTATGTTGGTTTCCTGGCCTGCTGCTGAGTTCTAGACTTTAGCAAATCCTTGAGCCTCAGGGACACTGGACAGTGTTAGAAGAGAAAAATATCAGTTTTCTCCAGCCCTGGTGCTCTTAACAGTATAAACATCTGCAACTTCTGTGCACAGTTGCACCTACTCTAAACAGAGACCAGTATCAGAGATTTGTTCCTGAATAATATAATTTATTAAACTGATATGTGCCTAGATATGTGTCCAACTCTATGCTCTGTGAAAAGAGTATGTGTTTCCTTTCCCAAAGTCCATGGAACAATCACAAAATTGACCATACAGGACAAAAAAAAAAACTGCAATAAATTTTGAACTGTAGAAATAACACAGACCATTTTTCTGAGCACAATGCAATATAGCTAGAAATAAGTAAAAGCAAGCAAAAAAATCTACTTGGAAATTCAGAAAGTACTCAGTTAAACTTTGATAAATATCCACCTAAAGAATAAATTAGTTTCATACTATTTTAATATAGTGGTAATCAGAAATTTATATAGCAATCCTGGTGGATCTGGAAGAAATCTGCAATTGCAAGAAAAGGCGTAGTCTTAAATGCTATTATTATTAAGCAAGAAATAATGAAAATAAACTAAGCATTCAAGAAGTTGGGGGGGTAACAAAACAAATCTAAAGAAAGCAGGACAAATAATTTAA